ACTGATACTTCATTACCATCATCAATAAAATTGAATGATAATGAAGGAAAGAAACAAAGCAAAGTGACTGATAACTCAACATTAAATGAAAAACAACACCATGTTCATTAATGTATAAATCTCCTCCTAACAATAGAAGACCCTCTAGAAGAAACGAAGCATCGGACATAATAAAAGACTTCCATCCCTTTAATCAATTAATTTTTCAAAAAATTAGAACTTTAATTAGTATATTTACATCCAAATATGTCAAATTTTTCAGGGTTTTGAGTTGAAAATTTTAAAAGACTCAGGTCAGCATTATATAACTAAACTTTTAAAACTATAAAGATATCTTTCCTAATCTTCAACATCGTTTTGATTTTCTGGAAAATCCGATGAAAATAAATATGACATAATAGACGACCCGGGGTGTTCTTTTGTGGGAGGGAGGTTTATAAACATTGTAAAAAATTTAGATCTGTATTTTTTGTTTTTTTTTTTCACTTTGATCTGAATAATATTTTGGACATCTTTCATAATGTGGTTTCAAGTAGTTTTGTTTTTTTTTTGTTGGTTTTCAACGAAAATATAAAAAACATCTGTTGTATTTGTATTAGATCAAAGTTTATGAATTTTTCATTCAATAACGATGGGCAATATCATTAAATTTTGTTTCTTAAGATAATAGATGAGTGACCTTTACTGATTATGTTGCACGATGAAAAATAAAGAAAAAAAAAGAAAATACTTAAACTTTCCTTGTAGAGAGTAAGTCGTACATATGAATTGATATATTTTTAAAAATATTATGATCAATTAACTAAAATTCAATTGCAAGCATGGTAGAAAAATATGAAATAAAAACTGCATTCCTATGTGCTAACTATCGCTGGTTTTATTTTGAAAGTGCTGTGATCGTGGCATTTTTATCATAACGGGTGAATATTTTCAAGTCTGTTGGCACTAACAAATTTTAGTTGTTTTCGACTAACTCAGAAATATGTTGATGCATCTAAGCCACAGAGGCCAAATCGGTTCCAGTTATAAGATAAATTTTTATTAGTAAAATATATTCTGAAACTGTTTTCTTCTCGTTTAATTTGAATTCTTTCTAATAAACAATTCCAATTCAAGTAGAAAAGACTCGCTATGATCGTTTATAGCTGAAACTGAAAGTCATAAGTGCTACCGTTGATTCTTATGAGTATCACAGTGTACTGGCGGTAGTGTGAACAAACATGCGATATGAATAATAAATTCGTCTAGCTAAGCCTGTTTTTTGCAACTTCAAAACAATATTGAATAATGTAAAAAAACAGATTGAGCATAGGAATGTGCAGTTTCAATTTATTGTTCACTGACTGTGACGTTCATTAAGCACCGATGATATCGATGTTCGTGATCATTGGAACTGTGACTATACTGACGATTATATTCATTGGAATCCAGGTAACCTTTGTATCAGCGTTCATTGAAGCACTGACATACCAACGCTGATGTCCATTGACTACAATTCGTATGAGAATATTATGACTTCTTCTGGATTGAGTAGATCAATCGGCATGATGTTTTCATTGGATGAAGACATATTAGTTTAATGGTTTATGCTATGTTTTTTCTTAGAGATAATTTTAGTTTATATTACATTCTGTTAGTGAATGAATGAGTCGTTCTTTTGCTACTGTCATATAATATATGTCAAGTTTCACCCATTATTTTCTATTCTTAGTTATTTTATCTTTTCCTTTGACTTACACTCATTTTTCTGATTTTTTTCAATTTTTCTTTAACTTTTGCATACACAATAGAAAAATGAAATTGAATATTCTTCACATCGCTGTATCCATTGTCTCATTCGATACATAGTATTATACAGTTGAAAAAGAGAGAAGAAAATGTATATGATGCAATAAGAAATAAAATCATAACCACTTATGTATAAGTGATGCATTTCGGTGAAGTTTACCTTATGATTCAAAGTAAAAGATTAACCACATTTACAATATTTTTGAGAAGAGTAAATGTACTTATTCTAATGTTTTCCGTTAATGATTAGATATCAAAGCATAGAAAGTACATATTATTCTATTGAACTTCGATGTCAATGCAGTCTCAATGTTCTTCCAATGATCGTCAGTGTTTCAATGAACACTGATGTGAGAGTCGTCGAGGATTTAATGAACTTCAATTTCAATATTCCAGTGTTTTCATCGACGTTGTACATTTCTAATTGAGCGTCAGTAAAAAAAAAGAGACACATGTACTGTTTTGAATTCTGCATGACCTACATGTTTACTATCGGTTGCACATGGTAGGAATATACAGAAAGAAAAATACGAAGGTTACACTTATTTTTTTCTATAGAACAGCAGAAAAACAACGCTTTGTCATTACAGCATTATCAAAACATAAAATGCCGTCGTATTCAACACCATTGAAATTAGGTCCTTTACTCTTAAAAAATCGTGTTATAATGGCATCATTAACACGTGATCGAAACCGTATTCCTGGTCCACTTCAAGTAGAATATTATACACAACGTGCTGGTGCTGGTCTTATTCTTACTGAAGGTACATTCATCGAAGAGCTTGGTTGTGAATGGAGTAATGCACGTAGGTCTCTAATGTTTATCTTTTTCTATGTTATTAATAACATATATTCAAATTATAGCTGGTATTTATACAAATGAACAAGTAGCTGGTTGGAAAAAAATTGTTGATAGTGTTCATGCTCGTCAAGGCTTAATATATATTCAATTATGGCATATTGGACGAGTAGCTCATCCACTTCTTCAAAATGGTCGACCAAATGTTGGACCATCAGCATTAGCAGCTAAAGGTGGTAAATTTTCACAAATAAAAGGTGAACCTGGATATGTTGTACCAGAAGCAATTAAAGATCCTACATTTTATATTTCTTTATATAAACAAGCTGCTGAACGAGCTAAAGAAGCTGGATTTGATGGAGTTGAATTACATAGGTAAACTAGTTCATTTATTGTTTTGTTCATTCATAGGGAAAAATATTTTTTTCCACATAGTGCAAATGGTTATTTACCTCATCAATTTATTGATAATACATCAAATCATCGAACAGATCAATGGGGAGGATCAGTAGAAAATCGTTGTCGATTTCCATTAGGTATTATTGATGAACTATCTCGTGTTTATGGAAATGATCGTGTGGGTATTAAACTATCACCCAGTGGCGGTTATAATGATATAGGTATGAATGACACAGATACAATTGAAACTTATGGATATCTTATCAAAGAATTAAATGCTCGACGTCTTGCATACATACAATTAGCACGTTACTGGGCTTTTGTAGATCCAGCAGGTCGTGGAAAAAATGTTGATATATTTCAATGGAGAAAATTGATTAATTCCGAACATACAGCATTTTTTGTCAATACAGATTTTGATAGTGAAGAAGGTGCAAAAGTATTAGAATCTGGTATGGCCGATGCAATTGTATTTGGTCGATTGTATATTTCAAATCCAGATCTAGCTGAACGTTTGATTAAAAATCGAGAATTAAATACGTACTTGAATATGCAAGGTCTCTGTGGTGGTGGACGAGAAGGATATACAAATTATCCAACATATGAAAAACAAAAACTACAACAATTTTTATCCAATATAGAATATCTTTAGTTTTAATTGAAAAAACGCTTGTGAAAAAATATTATTTTAATAAAAGATAGAGTATCAAGGTTTAAAAACAACGTTGCCATTCGAATGAAACTAATGTATTACATTTGCCATCTTAGTTCCTCCTTTAGTTTTTTTTTTGTCGTTCTGTTCGTGTTATTCTTCATTTTCCTTCGTCCGCTTGTTCACCTCCAGACTTTGACGAGTCTATATAGTATGAAGAAAAAAAAGTGGGATGCATCAGAGAATCGACTAGTAAGCGAATGCGTAATGAGATCTCTTTTCTTTTCTTGCGCGTTCTTTCCTCTAGCTATGAGCTTATTCGATATGTCAGTCGTTCATGAGGGGTATTGCTGATGTTGAATAGTGCAAAAAAAAATTGTGCGCGTGATTTCCGTTGACTTGATGCACCATTCCACAACGCATCAGATTTTCTTTTTCTTTTAGTCCTTAGTGGAATACTCTCACGAGAACAAAAAACGAAAAGAAAATGTCCTTGAGTACAAGTTGTGGTGAAATTTTTTTTTTGTCTATACTAATCGATAAATATTTAATATTGATGAAAATTACAAAATATTTGCGTTATACTCTTTTTCTTTTTTTTTGTATTCATTACAAATACGTATCAGATAACTTTTAAGAAAGAGAATCATTTGATGACTTGAGACAAATTCTTGCCTTGTTATTCTCTTATTGATATGTTGTTGTTCTTAATCTTTTTTTTTTCGTTTTCTTTTCCTGCTCAATATGTACGAATGGCGTCGATCATATGGACGAGAGCACGAGCGAAACTCGTGAGTAGAAACAATCCCTGTTCTTTTCATTTATCCGTCTTCTTTCCTTCTCGTTTTTTTTCTTCTACTGAGCTCTTATATAAGCCTATACATTCGTACATGCATACATAACATACAAATACTAAACGAACAAAGAAAAGAAAAACCGGTTATTTGGTCCGACCTTCACTTCAAAATCAAACTTTTGTTATTGTCTGAGCATATTTTATTATTTTGATTTGTTGATTAGTTTAGTAATCATATATCATAGAATATTAATATAACAAAAAAGAAACGAACGATGCCATTTATTGGACGAGATTGGCGTGCATATGGTGAACAATGGACAAAAACTGATATTGGTTCATGGGAACAACAAAGACGACTTTCATTAACAAGTTCAGTAAGTTTTAATATTTCTTTTTGTGTTCGATTAATAATCATATGTTTTTGATATAGTCAATAAGCTTAAATTCAAGTTTATCGGATGTATTCAATGCTCTTGAAATAGTTAATTCAGTTAGTAATATTCGACGTTTTAATTATATTGCTAAAGTAAGTTAATAATGATTTGTCAAAGTTTATTGATTGTATATTTTATTTTGAAATCAAGGTCGTACAAATTTTATTCAAAGAAAAATTAGGTGAATTAAGTGGTAATGCACAACGTTCTTTATTTCAAGTTATTGAACGAATGATTGATATGGGTATCATTTAAGAACATATATATATTTTTTTTTTTTATTTTCTTCAATTTTATTATTTTGTTAAGTTCTTAAAACAGGAGATAATATATCATTAATGCAACGAATAGTTACACAATTTCACAGTTCAATACAATCTGCATATCCATTTTATTATTACATTGGTTCAGCACTATTATGGCAACGACATATTAAAATGTTAACAAGAATGCAAGAAACAATAAAACAAGTTCAAACAAATATGATTACAATCGATGAAGATAATAGTAAATTAACATTTGATTATCTTCCAGTTGATATGCAACGAGAAGTTATAAGACGTTTAGATAATGGTACAGATATAGTTAATATTGGAATGATTAATTCAAATTTATATAGAGTATCACAAGAATTATTTATATGGCGTCAATTATGTCTTTATCATTTTGATGGTGATACGCAAAATAGTAATAATTCTAAATTAGGAGAAAAAATTCTTGGATTAATGAGAAAACAACAAGATGATATTGATACAAATAATATTGATTGGAAAACAGCTTATTTTAAATTAAAACGACAACATGGCCTTCGCGAAGTTTATGCTGAAATGATACATCAATGTCAATTATGTAAAAGTCTTTTTTGGCAGGTTTGTTTTGACATTTTATTATTATCTATTTATTGATTTAAAATTTTATTTATTTTTTTCTAGGGTTCTGATCATTCATGTCCATATGACACACTTTCACCTTCATCAATACCAATAACACCAAGAAAACTTGTTACAATGTTAGTATAATTGACAAATGTGTAGTGTTTGTGTAAATATTAAACAGTGAGTCATCGACACAAAGTCCATTGATGAAGGAACATTTTCAAATGATCAATCGCTTTTAAAATCGAACTCAGTATATTTGGGAAAATCAAGTAAGATATGAAAAACCGCTAAAGGCTAAGTCTTCTATCCAGAATTGTAGG